TTATTGTTGTATATATATATATATATATATATATATATATATGTTAAAGATATATATGTACATAATTTTGTAAATATTTTGTATTGTTGTTTTATTTTAAATATATACAATGCTAAAGCATGCAATTAATTGGAAGTAAAGCAATAAATGAGCATATGTTGAATTTGGAGAAGTGTATTATTGTTGAATTTCTTAATACTATTTGAAATTATTTAAAGTAAATTGCTCTTCATTTGTTTCATCTCACTTAAGCTCTTACGGTGGAGTCTATTTACTGTGGAGAGAAGCTTTTTCACGTATTGCTCGATTCCATCCTTTTGTTTTATACTAGCAGATCGCCCGTCACACAATGCAAATGTATGGTTGAGTTATGTCGCAAATTCAATTAAACGTCGAAATTAAAAATATCCTGTCACCGCTTTCTCGTAGATATTTTAGCATATTTTTTGCTAAAATTCGTATTGCATTTGTATATTGCAAAACATTTGTTAATCGTATGATTCGATAATAAATTGCAAAATTGTAATTGATAAAATTTCAATTATTTGTTTTTAAATACAATGTATTTGTTTCTTTATCACAAAAAGCTTGCTTCTGTTTAATTATATTATTAATATCTTTTGCCTCATTTATATAAATGTGATTGTTTAATTCAAAGTGTTATTTATGATTTTATGGAAAGTCTAAACCTATGTACAATCGTACTATTGTTATAAAAGAACAAAGAGAAGTAGAACAAAGAAAAATATAAATTTCTTTTATTATTAAAAAATTGTATTTGCGTCTTCAAAAATTATTCATAATAGAATTATTTTATTGAACAATTATATTATATTTCAATATTTATTTCGTATTAAATAATTTTGTTGTAAACGTTTAATTTTGTTATATATCCTTCAATCTTACTCATAGATTATAATCGATTATCGCTGAGTATAAAAGAAATATCAAAAATAGCATATCTGTATTAATTAATTATTTTATCCTAAACATGAAACGAAGAAACGGAAATGTCTATTTGTGAAGACTAAAAAAAATGGAGAAATTTATTAGGCAAATCAACTACTTCTTCTTTCATTTTTTCTCTCTCTTTCTCTCGACTAACCCTTATCCTAGCAAAAGATTCAACGGAAACTACGTTGATTGATCGGATTTGACGACGCCATGAAGAACCGCATCCTGTTGGAAATCCTTATTTATCTCCTCTCAGCGATTGACGAGTTCCGATTTAATACTCGATATCCTGTTATCGTTATATCAGAAGCAAAGCGATCGAGTTAAAGTGACTCGTCGCATCACTTATAAATGAACACTTATATATATCTGTATTTATTTCTAATGTATCACAAACATCTGTATTTATTTCTAATAAATAAATTGTTAACTGTCTAATCGCGGAATAGTAGAGTTTATCATTAAAAATGATAAATTCAGATTAATTCTATATATGAATAAACTAACATTAATATATACAAATCTATAATAAACACCAAATGTATATCTAATGTTTCATGTAGATATAACATTTCCGTATTACTATAATTGCAAATGCAGATTATTTAGTCAATTTGTTTGCTTTCGTAAATCAGAAAGGAAGAGAAACCAGAGAAAAAAAAGCACATCTTTTTGTTTGGTTTTATAGTAATAACCATGATGAGCCTGCAATCATTACAACCGTCTCATTACCCTTTCCAGATCGTCTAGCACATAAATGAGCTACTTGATCAAACCAACTGCGAGAAAAACAGCGGCCACTATAAATATTGTTTCTGTTAAATAAACAAAATAAATTGAGTAATTATTCCAGCAGGATTAATCTTTCGCGAAACTAAAGAAAAGTATCTAATGCATATATAGATGATAAAATATAAGAATTAATTAAATCATTAACTTCAAATTGCATATTAAAATTTATCAGATTATTTTTTTATTGAACATATGAAGAATACTTATAAATACCAAAATTTAGTTAATTATGTAAATTAATTATATTTTGTAAATACAAGGTAAATAAACAAATTTAATAAAAACTAATTTTTTATTATCACTTTGACTTAAAATTACAAAAAGATTACAAAAATTATAAAAGATATAGTAAAATAATAATTAAATTGATGTTAACAATTTTAAATATTTTTTTAAACTTTATTAAAATTTTTTTTAATTTACTTGTAAAATTAACAATTATTTTTTTATCAAAAAAAAGAGAAAGCAAAGACGGGAGTAAAAATCGTTTTCTCTTTTGGCTTTTACTTTCGTCTTCGCTTCTACCTTCTATTTCCAGTTTACGTTTATCTTATCAAACAAAAATTGCTATGTAATCTTTCTATACATTTAAATGCGCATTTGTTGGAAATATGCGGCATTACTTTCTTATCTTCCCTTTAATAATATATTCTCAGATAATAGTCTCTTCGCAGTCTGATACTTATAGTTTATTGCGAGAAGAATATCACACCGCTTAGATCTTCTCCTTTCTAGTTAAGCTATCGCATTAAGTACAAAGAACGACATCAAAACAAGATTGTTTCAGCAAGATCGTTCGATCGGATCATAAACGGAAAGAAAGGATGCGATTGTGAGAGTCCTAAAGGATAGGTCAGTGCACATCGAAAGAAGTGGAATGGAATGGGCAGCCCTCGACGTGCGTATCTGGGGTCAAAATGCCGAAAGACCGTTTTCACATAATCCCAGAAGAAAGAGGAAGATCTCAAATAAAACGAAAAAAGAATTAACGCAATCGAATTTATTTTTGGAATAGAATCTCTTGATTTCTTAACATATTAACAAAGTTGTTTTTGATTAACATCATTACTTTTCATATAAGATTTTTTTTTATAAAACTAAAAGTTAATGTAATACAATTTAATTTACTAATTAATTATTATATAACTATGATAATATCCATATAATTAATATACTATGTAAACTTCAAGAAAATGTTTAAGTAAATAATCTAAATAAAAATTTTGCTACGCAATTGTTTCATTTACTACAAAAGTTTTTATTTTACGATACAAATATTTAAATGATGTTTATTGTTATCGTGATTTATTTTTGCAATTTAGTATAATTTATTTTATTTGTAATATCTGAATGATTAATCATTATATAGATACAATATCTATATAATTAATATTATATATTTTTTTCATTTCTATATAATTTTAATTCAATTTTCTTTTTTAATTAACATAAAACACTAAAATTATATATGTGCAATTTTGAATATTTTAGTGGCTTACGATTGTTTACTCTTACGCAATTTAGATGTAGAGTATATATAATTATAATAAAACTTAATTAGCATTTTTAGTATAAAAAATATACTCAACAATATTATGAAAATATTAAGGAACAAAAATGCGTAGACGTCGACTAAGTTCTGTTCCACCCAATTTTGGTGTCTAAGTGGTGTAACCAAACTTCCGTTTGGATGACGAACAGCATGTTCAATACCCCAAACAGCTAATTCTAATGGCGGTACTGGTCGATCTCGGAATTCACTAGATAATTGTTTCATGTTTTTTGCATATCTGAATAAAAGATGTTTTATTGTTAATAACATAATACTAACTCATTACTTCATTTATGAAAAAGCCGAATATACCAAGACGTAACCGTATACGTAAGAAAATAAAATTCTATAATCTATTGTTTCCTAACAATCATTTGTTTTTTGTAAAATCAGTTACATTTAATATATTATTTAAACATTATTTAAAACCATAGTATTGTTACATTTTCTGCTAAGTAATAATTGTATTAACATAGCAATCGAAATACATTACCTTTCATTGTAAAATATTTCTTCTATCGCATATATTATGGATTGCGTAGACAAAGTTTTAACATTCAAACGAACACCAATACCTTTGCCTACTATCATTTCCGCATTGGAATTTTGATCCATAAAGAAAGGCATTACGATTATTGGTATACCTTTCCATATTGCTTCCTGCGTGCTAAGAAGACCGCCATGCGTCCAAATTGCTTTTACATTTTTGTGAGCTAAACATAAAAGTTAAATAAAATAAATTTTAATTTTCAACTATTACAGCCAAAATCTAACATTGGTATAAATATTCTGTTAGCAGTGATTTTCCGATTAAATTAATACAGTGCATCTTTTAATAAACAAGTTTCATCATCTGCAAACAAACTTCAAAATATAATTGTAATAATTGAAAAATAAAATTCAAGATTTTCAAGTTTTCACACACATCTCAGATATAAATTAAAACTATAGAAAAAAATAAAATTCTTAAGACATTATAAACTGCAAAATAATTAAATAAATATAATACAATAAAAATTGAATTATTGTCTTCAAAATTAAATTAAATTACTAAAAGTCAAAAACTATTTGACCCAAAAATTATATACGCGACATGTTTATATAAGTGTTTATATAAGTGTTTATATAAGTTTATATAAGTGTGTCACGCTTTAAAATAATATTGGAATTTAGATAACAATTTAAATTGATTGTACGTCTAGATAAATGATTCTCACAGTTATAAAACTCAGTTATAATTTTATTTAACATTATTGTTAGAAAAATGATGCTATTTATTTAAAAATTATAGAAACATTATAAATCAATATTCTGTTAAAAAAGACTTAAGTCAAAAGTTAAATATAAATATATGTTTACGTTAGTTAAAGAATATATTAAAAATAATAAATTAAGTATGTTACAAGAAAATATATATCAAGTCTTATTTTCATATTTTCTTAAGAATTGATAAACGTACATAAAATTTCGTTTTGCGGTATCCATTTTGCAATCATTAAATTTTTCGGTATTTCAAATGGTACTTCAATATCTAATTTCCAGATTGTTCGTTGTTTTACTTTTGATAAAGCCGTTATAACAGTTTTAATCTTATCTAATCCAATAGCTTTCCAATTCAAATTCGTTCCCAATGATATCACAATAGCTCCATCTTTTGCTTCGTCCAGAAATACACGTATATTCTATGAAATAGTAATGAATTAAATATTTTAATAAAACATCTCAAAATTTGCATTTTATAAAAATGGCTAGTTATGAATAAATACATTTGCAAAAAGGATTATATCTAAGCAAAAAATTATATTATCAAATATATTCAAATGAAATTTATGAAATACGACACATTTTTAAATGAGCTCATTAGTATTTATGTAGAATATTTATAATTCACTGATTATGATGCAATTAGAAATTATATCATAAAATTGTTTAATTAATTATAAATTTGAAAATACGATAAAACAATTTATATGTTCTTCTACTAGAACTGGTTACATATATATTAAAAATAAATTTTCTTATTCCAAAATTTTAATTATACATATTCAATAGACTAAATCTTTAATCATCCAATTATTTATCAAAAATATTGTCATTCATAAAATAGCATCCACAATATTTGAAATAGAACGCAAATATTTTTATATAAAAAAAGTGTTTATATAAATGATAAGTTTCAATTCATTCATAGTCTTCAGATAAAATTCCGAATAAAATTTCAATCATTTGTTAAAATCCAATTGTTTTAATATATTTTCCTAATTTTGTTAGTTTCTAAATAAAGAGAATGATTTTTTTTACCTCAGGATACGGTACAGTTTCATCGCCGGCGATCGGTTTCATACTTTGGGCATGCAATCCTCCAATTTCCAGAGTATTTGGTGGCAATGGGATCGCTGATTCAAACGCAGAATGACTATTGATTAGTACAATATTAATACGATCTTTTTCAATTTCATGTAATGGTCTGATTGCGTGACCTAAAAATTCCTCGGCGAGTTGTTGAGAGGTGGGCAGAAAATAATAGTTTCGTATAAGTTCATCCGCAACGTAATATAACGCATTCCATGTTCTTTGCCATAAACCTACAGGTTTTGCAATGGCTGCATGCGTATAAGGTCGAACAGTCGGATAACTTGGACCACCTGTGAAAGCCTTGAGCCAAGGTGCAGGGCCGAATGGAATGTAACCTACTACGGGTGGTTTACCCTTAGCAACCTGAAAAAAATATTTATGCCCGTTTATTACAAAGTAATAATTATATTAATAGTTATAGCTTTCATTAATTTTGCCGATTCTATATACCAATACAATTCTGTGAAGTTTCTCGCTTATTTTTTCATATAATTTTTACATTCTATTTATTTATATATGAAAATCTAAAGAAACTATAATTTATTTCAACTTCAATTAATTTTTTCAGTTTCAATTCAACTTTAATATCAATGATTTTTTAAAGAATAAAAGAAATTGACTGATAATAAATGACAACTTTTAGGTCTTATAGATTAAATGATAGCATTTAAGATTTCATAAGATTTTATCTGATCTTATAAGATTATGTATTAAGATTATGTAAACAAAATAATTTAATGATAATAAAATTTTAATTACTAATAATGGAATTTTAATGGCGTTTATAATTTAAATATAACTAATTAATGCTTTTAAATATTTATGTATTAGTTTATATTGATAATAAATATCGCCTATCTTCACCTCCCATAATCCATAGAAACACTGGTGTAGAGTAATGTCCTGCACTATGACGTCAAATTCAACATTCTTTATTAATTTTAAAAGTTCTTTTGTTCTTTTATTTTGTAATACTCTCTCACATGAGATGACACCCCACTCATATGTAAAATACGCCGAATAAAATACGCCGTATGATTCCCACTCAACCGGATTATAATCGTCGTCGGTTTTGTAAGTTTCCATTAGACCATCAAAAACCTGAAAATAATAAATATCTTTTATTATGTAAATAAGAAAAATAAAATATACTAAATTGATATAAAATATGAAGACAATATTTCGAACAGAAAAGTTACATTACTTTATTTCATAAATTAAAGATAATCAAACCATAATATTATATATCCAAAAGAATGTCTTCAAAGTTCTACTTACGGCGTACGTTAAATTCTGTGCGAGTTTATCATTGACTTTAGTCTCGTGTATACTTTCTACGTGTACATGATGGCCTTGGCGAAGTAATTCTTTAACTAACTTCACCGTCCAAATATGATGACTCGTCGATGCAAGAGGCTCTATCAATAAAATCGACAACGGTTTCGAGGTTGTTACGAAGCCTATTAAAAGGCAAAAACTAAGATGAAACAACAGAATGAAATAATTTGACATTGTTAGAACGAACGCTCAATTCAAACTTCTCGCGTGAATGTTCGATTAGATCTCACGACCGAATACATCGATGTATCCGGAATAATATGTCCCCACTGCCGTTAGTAATGTTTATCGTTATAACTTCACGTGACACACCGACAACATTACATGTTGATGTTCTATCCACAATCTAGTAGTAGGGAGAATAATTATATAATTATACAGTAATTATACAATCATTAAAAAAAATAGGGAAAGAATGAATATGTAAATCATTGATAAAATGTAGGTTGAATATGCAGCATATATTTTATTCGCTACTATTACTGTTGAGATTAAGTTAAGATATTTGAATGTAATCATTATGACTTTATTATTATGTAATAACAATAATATTATATATAATATATATATATATATATATATATATATATATATGCAACGAACGTAATTTAAACATGCATATATGATAATAAAACGAAAGTTAAATCAAATAATAATAATACAAATAATAATAATAATTTGTAAATTTTTACAGAATTAATAACATTTTAATAAAATTTTTTTAAAGAGAGACAAGAAATAGTTAAGAAATGTTAATTTAATTTTATATTTTTAATATTATTATTATTTAATATTTTATTTAATATTTTATATTATTTATTATTTATTATTTTATATTATTTTACATTATTATTATTTAATATTATTATTATTATTATTGTTGTAATGCACTTATGACTAATTTATACAAATCCAAGAGAAAATATATATTTTTGTACGCTAATTTACATTCACTATAATATAATTTATTCAATTCATTAAGTTCTTATATTAATAAAGTCACTTTTATAATTATATTTACTTTTCATTTAGTCTTCATTTAAATCTTCGTTGTTTTTATTTACAATTATCAAATCTATATTTATATCTGTACGCGAAATGGAACGAAATAATAAACAAAAACGCACACAGTATCTAAAAAGGAACAAGATATTTACAGAAATCACGTAACATGCACAAAAAATAAACTACTTTCGCACTAGAAAGTCGTAATTGCACAAACGACGGTTATAACGTTTAAAGTAGAACTGATGACTGGCGCGGAGAATACAAGATCGTAACGTTTTATAATCAGAAATTTTGATCAGATATTAAATTACAGATTTAAAACTCTCTTTGTAATATTAATCTTCGATATGTTTTGATTATCATAATAATAACTTAATCAACAAAATATTAAGTATACAAAGAAATTTCTAATCTTAAAAAATTTAAATATAATACTTATTCCTTAAATATAGAGATTAGATTAAATATTTTTAATTATGTAGAAATTTTATTTTTAGTTTAATTTATAATTGCAATTTATTACTATTTACCTTGAAATTTAATTTTAATTAAAAAATAATTAAATATATAAAACTATTTAATAATACATTTTTATTTAATTCAATAATATACTAATAATACATTCAGTCAAAAGGTAAAGAGATATAATAGAAAAATAGGAAAAATTTAAAAATATAAAGTGCTTGTAATAATAAATATGCTTGTAATGATAAATAATTATCAAATGCAGAAGTACAAAAATAAAAAATACAAAAATAAAGTTTGAAGTCTCTATTTTGAAAAATTTTTAATGCCGATTGAATGGGATGATGAATTTTCCAATGGTGAATGACAAAGTAAAGACCTAAAATTGATAAATAGAAAGTCTCCGAGAATGAAGCGGTGACTCAACAATCGACAAGATGGCCAAAGTTACGTCTTGGATCAGTGTTGCAATGATTCCGAAGCGATAACGGCGATATTATAAATTACAGTTCATTCATTATTTTATGTAAAAATTACTCTTTTTCAGCTTTGACAGCAGTAGCTCAATGAGATAAAAAGCGCGTAAAAGTTCAAAGCTTCTTCGTCAAAATGCATTTTTGCAGAACTCGACATGATAATATTTCACTGTGTCTGTAATTGAACTGTAATTATGTAAATAAACTGTAATTATGTAAAGGAACTGTAATTTATAATATCGCCGTTATCGCTTCGGAATCATTACAACTCTGATCCAAGACGTAACTCTGGCCATCTTGTTGAAGTCACAATTCGTGAACCATAACGTCCTTATCTCTGATAACTTATACATACACTTATACATACACACATATATTCACACACGCGCGGATACGTACTTAGGCTGCGTTCCGATTGCCAGTACTGATTGTCAGTACTAATTGCCAGTACTGAAAATATATAGTTCACGTATATTATAGATTTTCAGTACTGATAGTGAATATCGGAACGCAGTCATAATATATAGTGATGCGATTTCAAACAATTGATGATCGATATATCTTAATCATAGTTACAATGGTTCGAGTTGATGTGACATCACAAATTACAGTTTATTATTTAAAAATTCTATTTTTTCAAATTGACGTAACTCCACAAAAAATTATCAAATTTTGCAAAGATTGCAGAAAGCAGTTTTGAACTTTCACACGCTGTTTATCTCATTGAGACACATCAACTGCTTCATTCCATAAAACTTCGGAAACTGAGCTTTCTATTTATCAATTTTATAGATCCTAACTTCGTTGTTGGAAAATTAAATCATTCCTTTCAATCGGCGTTAAAAGTTTCTCAAAATACATATTTCAAGCTTTATTTTCGATTTTTAAATACCTCTGTATAATTGTTTACTGCATTTAATTATTTACAAGCATTTGAAATTTTTTAAATTTCTTAATTTGAAATTTTTTTAATTTTTTCTATTTTTCTATTATACCGTTTTCTTCTTTAACTAAAAAACTGAGTATAAAATATTAATTGATGTATAAGAAGAAATTAATCAATAATTAATATTTTACAAAATATTAAACTTTTAATTAAAACAATTCATAATTCAATTCATAATTTATCGTGTACAACTAGATAATTCTACTTAATATACATAACTAATATACATATCTTACAATTTAAATATCTACATACAAAATTTGTTATTTAGCTTTTTAATATTTATTAGGTTTTTTTAATAATTATTGATATGTTAATTATATTGCATGCAAAATAAAACTGTATACTTGTTGCATTACTTAATGTACGTGTTATTAATGTAAGCAGTAGTCGAGATCAATTATTGGTATTTATTTCTTTTTTATATCCAACAAAATTGAATGAAAATATGTAATCATGTAACATTACAGTCGACTGTTTCATAAGAATTATATTGGAACGATTAAGTGATTTCATAAATCACTTGTGTCAAGGCTGCAGCACGTGGTTGTAAGTTGTAATATATATCTAGCATTATAGTTGAAATGTTCTCTAAAATAAACAATCTTTAAGAATTTATTCTTCTTGATAATTATCACTAGAGCTAAATAGTACATAAATATTTCATACATAATGTTATTGATATTTATAATAATTAAATATGATTGTGCAAAAAAATCTCATAGAAAATGATTTTATATTATTTATTTACGCACTATTTACACTCTAACCTTTTTATAAAATGATTGACATTATATAACTATACTAAGTAATTGTATGATATTATTAACATAGATTAAACACATCGATGCTCAGTAACTCGAAATGTGATCATTGCTTCTTCATTATTCATGACAACAATTTTATCATTATAGTCGTATCAATCCCTAATACATTAAACAATTTCAAAATATTTAACATAGAAATTCAATCAGATTAGTTCTACATTATCGCAAAATAAATGAATCGATAAAATGCATCTTGTTCATTATTGCACTTTATTGTATCTTATCATATCTATCATCATCTATCATAATTAATAAATGAAGACCGTTTAAAAGAATTAATTGTGTTTTTTTCAACGTGACTTACTAAATTAGGAACATTACAATCTTTTTTATCTTTTTTTTAAATTATGTTTCTACATTATATTTTCTAATTCGCTTTTAAGTAAGATAAAGAACTCGTATGCAAAAATTCTATTAAATTTCTTTTATTTTCAACGACAACTCTTTCATCTTAACACTTCTTCTTTCTCAAATCTTTCTTAAATTTTCTTCTTAAATTCTCCTTTAATCTTCCTTTTTTTCTTTTCCAATTTATTTCAGTCAATATCTTCATTTTCAATTGTTCAAACAATTCAGATATTCAAATAGATCTATTTAAAAGCAATTACGTTAAATTAATACCTTTTTTCATTCTCTTTTTTGTATATTTAATTCTTCTACTTATTTTTTTTATTCGTTAGGAATGATAGATCTATCATCAAATAATAAATGATAGTAAGCTCTATTCTTTCTTTTTTTTTTATTTTATTTATGCACTCAATATTTCAAATCTGTTTCTATTTTATTTAGCAGATATTAATATTTATAGATTTTTATAGATATTAATATTTTTTTATTAATACTCTTTGAAATATTGGTATTCTTTAAAAGAAATAGAAAATCATTTTTATTTATGACAATGCGTCAGTTATAGTCATATCTGTCCTGTAAATAGAAAATGATGTGAACTACATACTATTGCTAGATAAAAAAATTTATTTTTAGACATAAAATAGCGGGATGGAAATAGAAATAGAGAAAGGAAACAAGAAAAGAAAGAGAGAAGGAGAAGAAAAAGAAAGAAAGAAGAGAGAGAGAGAGAGAGAAGAGAGAGAGAATTGATTCTTCATCGAGATCGATAATATAGAAAATGTAATAAACGACAATGTCGGTAATATAGAAATTTTAAGATAACAACGTGTAACGTTGATACTGTAGAAATTGTTAACCGTTACGACTCACGGTCGCTCGACCATCGGTCAGTAAAGCGAGAAGGTAACGGTTTTCTTTCCTTCCTTCACAATTTTCCGACGATCGCGACGGTTAGGTTAGGTTAGGTTAGCCGAACTAGCAGACGACGGAGCGGTAGCAGACAACTCGTAGCTCTGGCGTCGCTCGCGGACGCTCGTTCGCGTGCGTTTGAATCGGAGCAGCTGAGGAGCGTAGAGCATACGCGTCGTGGTTCTCGCTCGCGCGAGGTGTGTGCCGTGGTGCGCGAACGTCGTGATAAACGTTGTTCGATCGGGCGCGGGCGACGAGCGAGCGAGCGAAGCGAGCCAACGATACGGCCGCGACGATGGATCCCGAGGCGTTCCTGGACATGGCCAATCAGGTCATCAAGCTGAAGATGTTTCCGTATTTCGACATAGCGCACTGCGTACTGTGCACCCTGCACATCAGGGAGGATCTAGGAAGCGGTGAGCTTACGCGGCCGGCCCGCGCACGGCCGCGTTTCTAAATTTGTAGCGCTCCCTCAGCGGCGTCCCCGGCGTCTCCGACGTCTCCGACGTCCCCCGACATCCCCACACCGGGAACTCTCGGTGAACAGCTTCCCCGTGACCTCGCTATTCCCGTGACACCGGCAGAGACCACGTCCCACGCTCTCTCCCGCGACGTTTTATATTTACATGATACGATTCCCCCCCCTCCTCCTCCCCCCCTCTC